ACTTCTCAAAACCCTTACCCTATTTATGACCAAAATCTGCGATTTTTACTACCCTATTTCTGACCTGGCCAAAAATTTGATACCCTATTTATGACCATTGCGGCTGGTACAGTTGCCCGAAACATAAGTTATGAAGGGCTTTTGTTAATGGTCTTATTGATAATGGTGAAAAAGTAGCTTCTTCTAAGAAACATACCCAATTCAAGACTAGTGAGCTAAAGACATACCCTATTTATAACCAAAATGGCCAAAATCGATGTCTTATGACCACAACGGCAAAAAAACCCCATAGCCTTTGGGGTCACACATACCTATACGGCCCATATAGGGGTGTACATCCCCCCCGGCCCAGGGCCTGAGGCTTATGAGACTCATCGTAGTACTGGAAATTCCCTTAGTAATTGCTTACAACACTACTAGAGAGAACTAAGAGATGCAAGAGACCCATTCAGTGTGAAAACGAACTTCAACAAAACTATTGGCATTAACTCACTTCTATTCGTCCAACTAGTACTCTCTTGTTGCTAATTACGTCCCCGATGTGAAGACACGGTTTATTTAGGGTCTTCTCGCACAAAGCGGAATTTTGTTTCTGCATCTTAATGGTTTAATTAAGCATCTTTGTGTACTTCGATATAGCTCAAATGCAAATTAAAAGTCTTTCCTTCCCTTAAATTAAATATGATAATAGAAACCTGCCGAACAATTAGTCTGCATGCTATCTTAAAGAGAAATGAGGATTGACTGCAAAAGACTAGAACTCTTCTACCCAGCTGGGACGACTTAACCCGAGATAATTTTTAAACTCATTTTCTGTGAATTCCAATGTTTGGTCGAAGGCGAAAGTCTTTGAGAAATATTAAGAAAGAAACATCATGCAAATAAGTCCATTCAGATCAGTAATTCACTCCAATATTTCAACGCCGAAACATCACAAGGACTTTATGAACTGGCGTGCTTGTATAGCGGCAGTCATGATGACTTGGAGTACAATGGCTGGGTTGTATTTAACATTAAATCGTAATTTCGTGTTCAAATGACTCTGGCCATGAGGCATTTATACAGTGGCAGAAGCTGAGTGCGTCAGCAAGCCAGAGTGCACAACATAGGGTTCCATTGGGGGTGGGGGAAGGGAGGAGGGAGAAAGGGGCGCCGGCATTCGTAACATTTGCTAACTAAAAGTTTGCTCACGGAAAACCGAACAAACAAAGAAACAAAGAAACAAAAAAACAAACAAACAAACAAACAAACAAACAAACAAAAAAAAAAACAAAAAAAAAAAACAAGCAAGTGACACTCTGAGAGACATATTTCTCATTAATACTTTTTCGGTTGGAGCCTTGCGACCCAAATTCCATTTTCTCGGTGCATAAGGGGACAATCGCAGTGTCCATTAACCCCTCGTAATAGATTAGGCTATTCACTGGATAGTACTAAAAACAGTGCTACAATGGGGCGTTATCATCAGTATGAACAAAAAAAATGAAAACATTTTTTCTTCGATGGACACGTAAAATTAATGGTCAAGTTTTGTTCAAAATTACTATATAAGCGGTACTGAAGCAATAAAAAACATGTTATAATGTAATACGCTTACAAAAGACTGATGTAAAGTGTGGCAGACAATCAATCAATTCTGTTATTGCGCCTTAAAACGAAATCATTAGTTAAATACCAATTAAAAATCCAGTTATTTACATAATCAGTTTCTTACATTTCATGCTTCTTCTTCAAATCACTGTTTTTGAAAATTTACAAACTATTAATGAACCATTCTGCCAAAAATCTCGCTTTTACAATGTTGCTCGCTTATATGGGTGTCTGAAGCTGTAATTACACGTGCATATATTGAGATAACTTTCATTACAACTAGAGAACTACAAGATAATTTTCATACATTGTGACACTATTATTGTTCTTCTAGTTAGAATCATCCAACGAAACAACTACTGACATGTACTCATTTAAACTTTACAAGTAACTATGTCTAAGTTAAGTCACTTCAACAAACGGTGAAATCACGACTGAAGTCTTAGCTGTTCTACCAAACTGTAAACAGAAGCCAAAGCCCAGAATCTTGAAATTAATTAGCATTAATTGAGATATCTAGAGAAAACATGATCTGGAACTTTAGATCTCCTAGTAATGAATTTGTTAGCAATTGAAGAACCATCAAAAGCATATTTACATCGACAAATGTCAAGACAGAAACACGATGTCCCAAGATTGAGAGAATAAAATGTATCATTTTGTTATCCGTGTATTTGAAGTGACGTTTGTGGTCACGAGACTTAACATACGCTTTTCTTAAAGCGCAAAGATCGCAAAGATCCACAAAAACTAAATTCAGGTAAACTGAGCACTTTAGTGCCAGGGGGGACTGCCATATAAAAAGGACGGGGTGCTAGTCGCAAATGTTTTGAAAGAACCCCTTAGAGGTATCAAGACCAAAACAGCATATTATTTCCTGT